GAAGACGTTTTCTTTAACCAGGCTTTTAGCACATCCATTTTGATTTACATCCAAATGGGTCACAGACATCAATGCAGTATTATATGGGGAGAAAAAGGGAATGAAATGCTTTTAACATGAAAAATATGCTGTTGCATGTAGGCCAACTTTTGTTCTCTTTCTCTTAATTTATCTAGGATTTGGGTGGGTTTAATTCTAGGGCCGAATCCAGTACTGGCATAAGTGAGCACAACTCCATTAGTGCAAATGGAGTCTCAACATTTATGTCAACAGTGAACTTAGATCATTGAATTTTTCCCATGTTTGGGCTTGCATGTTTCCTGCAAGATAATGTACACATGTACTTGCACATATGCTGCACATATGTACATCAAAATTCACTGGGGAGGACGTTTGGCTCTATGCTCTATGTTTGACTTTACATATAGAAACTGCAATCAGCTTACGAACTTTTTGCTTCTGTAGCTAATGTGCCATGCATCTGTAAGGATCAGCCATGCAGAATGCCACGTTGCAAATAAAATACCTAGTAGCAAAGGCAAATGTGAAAATTGCTTTTCTTTCCTCAGTCTACAGGACTGCACACGCACACAGATCTGTGTGATTAATTCGGAGAGATTTTTCTCCCCTCTGTTATCATGAAGTTGAACACTGCCTTCAACAGGGGGGTACGTAGAAATACTACAGATACTTATCACTGGAGTGAACTGTAATATTTATTCAGCTGCAGGCCTCAAGTTTAGTGTATGCCATGAGGTCTGCTTGCCTCTTAGTGCCTGAAGAATAGCAAGGCCAAGGCAGAGAAGTCTCATTCTCTGCAAGTGCTTCCTGCAGCGTTTGGGGTGTTGGTCTGGTCGTTGGGTTTGAGAGAGATGCAAGCGTTGCACTTTCCCAGGATCACCGTAACTTAGGTGTCTTGAAGCCACCAAGACGCACCTGTGTTGGGATAACAAAGCTGACGGATGATTTCTGCCTCAAACTTTTACCACAGATGTACGGCAGAGGTGACAGGCACGCACAGCTCAGGGGTTGTGTGAACCAGTCAAAGGTTATTGGCCATCTGGAGGCCAGGTGTCCACAGCACGTGAGGAACCCACATTTGTGGGGACCATATACTTCCCGCCCCGCCTCGTATTTAAAGACAGTGGTAATATTTTTCTTTTTTTGTTTGCTTTTTAGATTGAAAGGCCTTTGGTATATCCTAAGAGTGACTTTTCCAATGTGCCTTTTGCCCAGCAAAATGGGGTGTCCTTGTATTCTCAGTGTTAAAAAGAGCTAAATAACGTTTGTGGTGAGAAATAGAGGACACAGGCCTATGGGCCAATATGAAATGGGATCGTTAGGAAGAAATGTAAGGCTCTGCCCGCATATAAAACTTGACCCTTCTCTGTGAACATTATCCCTGTGAATAATTGGAAATCTGCATTCAGGCTTCCCACTGTGTCCCATCCCTTGAGGACACACCCGCTGTATTGCTTTACATGGTGCAGCAATGCACAGTGAGATTTACATATATATCACATAAAAGTGTTTACAAAAAAAATTAGCATGTGATTGAGCTGGGAAGCTGCAGAGGGCCCCAACTGTATGAGTTTCCATGCGCTTCAGCCAGAAGATTTATTTCCAATTTGTTATTCATAAGGGAAGAGCGAGAGATTGGGATGGGGTCCTTTGAAGTGGAAAACAAAGTCTTCTATTCAGCCTTCAGCTTAATAGAATACACATGACACAGGCTTGGCATGGCGGCCTGCTTTCATGTAATGTGCTCCTTGTCATTTTGCTTTCCTGGGCTGTGAATACTAGTGGGAATGGGTATTGCCCTGGAAAAGTCTCGTTATCTCCTGCAGCCTTCTGCAGGAAGAGCAGAGTGTAAGCAGGTACGAGCCGTTTGGTGATGGTGCTGGGCAAACCAAGCTGATCCAGTTGTTGCAGTTGTGTATTCATAATTCCTGCTTTATGTTTCATATTGCAAGAACATGTGTAGAAAAAGCAGTGTACTTGCAGGGCTTCTGGAGGCATTACACGGGTGTTTCTGCTCTGTTTGGAGGCCCTGAGCAGGGAGCTGTGACCCGTGGGCTCCGAGACTGCCTCTGACACCCCACTTCTGTGTGACCTGAGCTCTCGCCATTATCCCCTGAGTGGAAGGCTCTTCTGAATTTGTGCAGCATCCAGGATGGTGGAGCGTGATCTTGCTGTATTGCTGCGAATAACCAGTAATTCTGTCCAAAGTTGGGGAAATACGTATATGAATCTTGTATTTCTTTGTGGGAACAAGGGCCTGGTTTTACAGTGATCTACAAGCCTCTAATAGTTTCTGTGTTCTGCCCTGTGTTAGTAGTATTAAAACCATGCTCAGTGCAGCACAAAGGCAATGTTTTTGAAGAACTTACAAGCCCAATTTACCACAAAGCCCTGTCAATTAGTGGGTCCGTGGGCTATGAGAGAAAACACGTGCGACCTTCAGCACATCAGCTTGGCCCACAGCGTGAGTGTGGTTAGAAAGAATTTGGACCAGAGTCCTGCTGGTGCTTTTGGCCATTTGACACTTGTTCCTTTTGGCTTCTTCTGGGATGATGTCCTCGTGCCCCGCTTCTCTCTCACTCTTCTTCTCTCTTCTGCATGTTCAGGTTTGGAGCTCGGGGTGAATCACTGAAATCAGAGATGGAAAGAAATGCATGAAGTCATCTCATCCTGCCCTCGCCAACGCAGGATTATTCCCCACAGTACAGTCTTGAGTGCCTTCTCTAGTCTATTTTTAAATGACTCAAAGGAGAGGGCTTTCCTCTCCTCCCTGGGGAGGCTGGCTCCGCTGTTCAGTAGACCTCACTGTTGGGGAATTTTCTTCCTGTTCTCCAGCCTCCTTTCTCCTTTTCCCTAATTTAATTGAACTGTTCCTAGCTCCACCCTTCTAAACAATTTTCCGTATTGCATGACTGTTGCAAATACCTATTGTCAATTTGCAGGCATAACGGATGGGAATTCATCACCGTTTGCCTTGCTTGGCAAAGGCTCTTTGTGCAGAACAGTACTGGGAAGCCAGGCTTTACCAGAAACTAGATTTCAGTGCTACATGCCAAGAAATAAGAATGACCTTTTCCTACTTTGGACAATGCCATTAACATAAAACCCCATCATGACTGAGAATAGTCTGGGATTCTGGCAAAGCCATGTACGTCTGTATTAGTGTGCTGTTCTCCTTTCTTCCATAGTGCTTTTTTTGCATGACAGTAACTGTTGTAACTTCTTTGATTTAGCTGTAGATGTATAGATGTTTGGAGAATGCTTACTGAACCAATACAGTAATTCTGCTTTTATCAAGTGGCTCCAGCAGTTAAGTTTTTAAACTCTTACTTCCAATTTGAGGTTTCTTAAGCACCAGAAGTGTTTTGAAAATGGGTTTTGAAGGTTGGATTTATGCTTTGACAATATCTAGATGCTTTGGAGGTAGCTCCTTTTGTCTTGCGGGACGTCCTTCATCCAGCAGGACTGAGTTGCAAGAAAACTGTGTGTCCAAAGAGTGTAAGTTATTCCAGAAAACCATCTTATGAGCTTCAAGAATTATGAATCCCTATTTATTTATTCAAGAGATGAAAATCAGTTTCTGCTGTGGGTGACAGAAGAATAGAAGCCCATACTGAAAACACCAGGAAAAGAATGGCTAGCATTAAAGAGACTGAAATCCCTTTAGTGCTTTCGTACAGCGGAGCTGCAGCTATTTAGCTATGGCAGGATACCAAACAACATTGTGGCTGGCCATTGTTGCTTGAACAGTTTGATTTTTAAAACATTCAACTGAAATATAACCGCCAGCCAAGTTGGAAGAAGCGAGTCACAAGGACAATGTGTTAAATGAAGAGTCAGCAAATGAGGGAAACAAGTTCTCGTGCCCCAGTGGAAAGTGGCTGTATTGCAGACCAGGAGCCCGAGAGCAGTATCAGCCTAGCACAGCTATCGGGTTGCTTTTTAAGAAAGTTTTATAGTATAGAAGTAATACGGCTTTAAAAAGAATGAGATAGTGCCACGGCTATAAAATAAAATTATTGATTTCTCTGCGGTAGGCCTCAGAAGGACCATGGATCCCATTCCTTTTTGCTCAGCACTGATCCTCACACCAGAAACCAGAAACCTCCTCCAGAAAACTTCCAATGTTAAGCATTTCAGGAGATGGGAAAGGGATGATGAAGCAGGGTGGAGGAGGAGAGAACAAAGTGACTGTAGCTGGCATGATAAAAACCATCCCAACACACATTGGCCTTTGTTGTTGATACTGATCGGATTCATCAAACTGTTTGACGTGATTCTTGATAGGTGTTTTTCAGAAGGCACCGTTCTTGTTGGTGTTTTTAAATGAGCGTGTTTAAATGATGCTGTGAGTTAATGGCTTGGAACATGGTGTGTGGGAGCAGTGGAGGGGAGAAGGGTGTGTGGTCCCTAATGACGCCAAGTGAAAAACAGACACACCTGCTTTGGGATATAATGGGAGTGATAAGAGTAATTTCTTAACGATGGGGTTTTTTGGGGAGTGTGAGGGGAAGGGTTGGTTTCAGGAATGGAGGGGGGGGCAAACAGGACTTCTATCTTGCTGTGCTGGGGGACTGTTCATTTTAAATGGGAGTGTTTGGTACATCTGAGCTGAACCGATATTGGTTCTTGCATGCCGCCCCCCTGCTCAGTGTTTTGATTTGCATTGTTTTATCTGCCAAAAAGAAAATAAATTCACAAAATATTTGCAAAGTTGCATGGCCACAGGCTTAAATACATACATATGAAATCCCTGAAAGCAATTTGCTTCAAGCCCTCCTCAGTTCCAGACATCTTTCTCACTCCATCTGCTCGTTCAAGTACACAAGTTCCTTGGGAAAAATCACTTATTACATCACTGAAAAATGCCACAAAAATAGCTTTTCACTTAAGTTCCCATCCTTGGAGTTAACTCACATGGGGATCAGATAGATTCAAACATTTAATAACTTTTTATTTTCCTTTCTCTTTAAACACAGGATCTCTGGTCATGGAAGCAGGGTCACGTGGTGGATTCTTGGCAGTCAGCAGTCTGTGGAGCTTTTGCAGGTGCAAAGGATTATATGTTATACTGGGAAAGACTAAAGAAGAAAGGGAAAAATGTGCAAATCTATTAAGTATAGCAGAACAACATTCCTTTGTAATTCAAGTTTGTTTAGAAGAAAACGGATCCAGTTGTTTGGAAATAGGAAAGTCACCAAAGGAAAGAGAAGGAAGAAAAAAAAAAACACAACTCAAACAGGGTGTCTGTTTGAAAGACAACCAATTTGTTTTTGACAAATTTCTGTTATTTAAAAACCAGGGGCCTGTCAGTCAGGCTTTGCGATTATTTCAAAGTTGATTTGTAAAATCCTCATCCAGGAGAAACTTTGCTTGGGTGGGGGTTTGTGCAGCTGTCTGCTCTGAGCACTTCCCCAGGGGTTGAAGTGATTGCAGCGAGAGGCCATGATTCACCATTCATGTGACAGCTCTGACAGCCGTGTAGATTAACTAGAGTCGGGAGAGCAGAGGCTAGCCCTGCACAGCCCCGAGGCAAAAGCCTTCCGTAGCAAGAAAAAAAAAACCCGAGGACGAAACATCTGGGCAATCTCCAGACACTAGAACAAGAATAAAGAGTGGCAGAATACAATACTGCACTATTTATTACCAAACAAGCCAGAAGTTAATTGAATTCTTCAGTAGGCTTCATGCTTGATTTTAGCCTACTGTAGTTGTTTCCAAAAAAAAAAAAAAAAAAAGAGAAAAAAATCAATTAATGACTCATCAGTATAGCTGACAAGTTTTGAGGGAGGAGAGACTCAACTGTCTTAATAGAAAAAACAGATTAGTAGTTAAGAGATGGATAGCCAGAGCTTTTCCCCAAGGAGCTAAAATACATTTTGAGATTCCAAACCAGTAACAGAATATGTGGAAAAAATAAATCCTGTTTAAAGAGAAATTATAGCATTTCTTGAAATAGAGATTATCAAAAGCAAAGCTTGTTCTTTGATGACTTACAAAATCAGAGCCATTACATCGTGTGTATTTTTATTAAAAAAAGCTCTGTTTGGGGAATTGAAGTATTAATAGCAGCAGAATTCCAGCAGTGACTGAGGCTTCGCTTTGATGGGCGCTGTAACTGCATGACTGAGAGAAGGTAGCGTGGCTGCAGCTGCACGCAGTTTAGTGGATCAGGCGTGTGAGCTGTGAGGGAATGGTTTGGGTAGAATTGATTCCATTTCGGGGCAGAGGAGATATTGTAGAGGATCTCTTGTGGTCTTGTCCAGCTGTATTTTCTATGTTTATGTGATGGGAACGGAGTTCTGTTCTGCTTAAAATCTGGTCTGCTGTTGGATTTTACACTGACTTAATCAAATCAGTACAAACAAAATCAGAGTGATTGAAGCAGCTCATTTTTGTTTTGAAACAAAACAAGCGATCAGACTAAAAATGCTTTAAAATGCAATCTGTACATCTGCAGGCTTGATAGGGGATCATTAATTTAGTTCTGATTTCTTTACAGTCAGTTTGATACAAAAACTGTGTTCAGACATGTTCAGAGTGCTGGAAAGGTTATCTGATTTACCCAAGGCCTTGTGGAGTAATTCCCTGAAGTCCAGTTTGGTGCCTCAAGTGGAAATCCAGCCCAGTGCCTCCACTTTCTTCTCAGTATGTCTTGATTCTGACCCGTTATACTTGTACTTGCTGTGATGTGGTGTGTCTTCAGTAGTGCCTGTTTCTAGCAGAAACACTGCAGAAGGAGCTTCCAGAGGCATCATTTGTGCATGAATGTTTCCCTGCCCTTTGACAGATGCTGGGAAGACCTTAACACTTTGTGCTGGAGGAGACACCGGGTCCTGGAGCAGCACAGAGACTTCCAGGTCCGTGGTGCTGGTAGATGAGACAGTTCAGCCTAGTTGTCTGCATAGGCTTTATTCCCCAAATACAAATCTTTGCAGAGCTGGCGTCCTATTTTGTAATCATGTTGTAATTGGTGATGATTATTCTCTGGGTTATCCTTCCAGCTTCACTTCCCCCAGCCTGCCTTTCTCTCTGTTCTTTGTTTCCCTATTCTTTCCTTTTCACCAGCAGTATTTTAAACTTTGTTTCTTATTTGTCCTTTGAGGACAGGCTTCAAAACTCGCAAGGTTCAACTTTTTTTGGATGAGAACCTTCCTCTTCCATCTCCATTGTCTCCCTCTGCAGATGTGTAGCAGGCAGGCCCTGTATTGATCTAATCTGGTACCACATCCATTCTATTTCACTGAAAATATTTAGCCTTCTTGCTGAATGGAAGCAGTGGAAAAATAATTTCCTGCTTTCTGAAGAATGAATTCCATGGTTAAAAATTAACCTACCTACGTATAGCTTCAAACCAGGGAAGAAAAAACAGACCAAACTCATTAGCCCTTTCTTTCCACCCCAAAACAAAAAATCAAAACCTCACCAGTATCCTGTGAATAAAGTAAGATGGATGTGTACATCCGAGTGATTTAAAATCACCCTGTTATAAATCTTAAAAGGAGAAGATTATCCAAAAATCAACCTTTAAACACAGACATGCTTTCAAATGCCACCATGGTAGTAGCGGGATGGCAAAATCACACAGACATGCTTTTCTCCTGTGTTCTTTGCTTGAATTCAATACTTTCTAAAAATATGTTAGGGGTCCTGAGGGGCAGGGTAATAAGCTGAAACAAACTGAAAGAAAAGTCCTGTTTGGCTTCCCTTTATGGCACAGACACACATGTGTGTGTCTCTGTGTGTTGGTTAGTTCCTAGCTAAATCATAATTGATTATTTGGCGAAGACAGAACTAAGAGCAACAATATATTGAATTCCATCCCCAGTGCCTGCGAAATGGCAGCGATTTCAGCCAAAGTGCTTGAGAGGCCTGGCTCTTCCTTGTAGAGCGCACATGTGTAAGATGTATGTGATCCATGGGCTTTTTATAGAAACATAATAGGCATGAGCATAAATATCAGAGATTTGGAACCCTCTCAGTCTCATCTGTTAATAATTTAATCCCTGGAGGCCTTGTCCAGCTTTATCATCATCTCTTGTGTCTTAAATAGAGGAGATGTTAGGAACAGTCAGGGAGTGAGAGAAGGTGATACCTGAGCAGCTGGTGCAGAGGAACCCAAGGGTAGATCTACATGATAGTTTAAGCCTGAGGATGTGTTTGAACCAAACCTTGCCTCATGTCTGAGCTGTTTGGACACCAGCCCAGATTCGGGCACAGACTGGAGGCAGAAGAGGGAAGCGTGTCCCCATGCTGTAGCCGGGCCAGGCACGATAGCGGTTGCACTCTGTGCTTCAGTCTTCTCTGGTCTTAAACTGCCTGGCTGGACCGCTGCACCTCAGCCCTGCACCATATCGGTGCAGGCTGTCCCAGAAATGCTTCTGGGTGGGTTTTGTGTGTCCTCCATGGAAGTGGGCTGGTGGCAAGGAAATCCTGCCATCAGGTGTTAGCTGCTGGAGCAGCGAGGCGATCTCCAGCTTGTCAAAAAAATTGAGTGTTCATTTAATGCCATTGAAAATTGCCTTTATTAAAGATGCCTTCTTTCTCCCAAAAAGTGTGCAAAAAAAAATGTGTGGCTTAACAATAATTAATGCTCTGTGGTGACGATGTCACTGAGAGTAGAGGTGCAAATCTGGTGAGTAATAAAGCACTAACGAGAGTGTTTTGCACATTGATAGGGAAGGCTTCCCATCACTTTTGTTTTGATCTAATTGGCTCTGACAAGATTACACATTGTCTAAAAGCCTCTTTTATAACTCTGAATACATTTTCAAGTAGTTCTCAAGATTTCCCTGCAGTGTCTCCTTGGGCCATGCTGCTAACCCCGAAGTGATTAAATGACTGGAGGAGCTTTGCCTGACAGGTGGTGTTCCCACAGTGATAAATGTCTAGAAAAAACTTCCTTTAAAAAAAAAATTAACATAATATCAATAAAATAAAAGTTCAGATAAGAACTGATTGAAGAGTTCTGAAGAAGACTGTGAACTTGGAAATCAGTCCGTGTAAGAGGATGCTGTGAGGTTTAGTGTTGGACCTGTGCGACTCAGGTTTTCAACACGGATTTGGGATTCAATCATCAGTCAGTCCTGAGTAACCTTCAGATGTCAGTACAGAAAATAGTAATGAAGACAGGCAATAATACAGCTCAACCGGGATTTTTTTTCTTTTCCTAAGGTGGGCTAATTCAAACAAGAACATTAGTCAAACGCAAGTTTCTATCTCTTGACCTACCAAACTGGGCTGGTGTTACAGAAGAGTGTGCCAGCAGTCTGGCCACATGAAGAAACACAGAATCAGGAGGAGCTCCTGTGATGGCCAGAAGGATTGCCTGGATCCTTTAGAAAGGGTGAGGAGGAGTTAAAGTGGTATAGAAAAAGAACGTACAGGGACTGAAGAACAACTTGTCTTCCTTCATAGGATCTTATTTGAGGAGCGTGTCAAAGAACCTGTGAAACACGTTCCTACAGCAGCAAATTCTGCAGGCAGCCACCTCACTGCGAGCGACCTAGGGTTATGTATTGTTCTCTGGTGAAGTGTTTCACTCTGTTCTGATGCTTCTCAATTTTTATTTGCATAGGAGGGCTAAAAAGGGTAGGAGATGCCAGGAGGAACCTAGGGGAATATCTTAAGTCTTCAAGACTTTTTATTCTTATTGCCAAATAAAGGTAAATCATTCTCTACAGATGCATGTCACTAGTGCTTCCATCAAGAGTTGTCACTGGGAAGGTGTGAGTAGCAGAGGGATTTTCTGTTTAACACCCTGAGCCTGGTAAAGTTTAGCTGCTCAGCTAACATGTGAATATACAGTGTCCTTTGTAATTTCTCGGGAGAAGAAGGTGATGAATTTTCCACTACTGCATGAAGTTTTATTTTCCCAATAGAGGAGTTTATCACTCTGCTAGAAGTATTAACAAGCCAAGAGCCTTCTCCCATGTGAAAACCCATCTTTATGCCTACTTGCTGAGCCCAAGTCATCACCAGGTCCTTATAGGGTAAGGGAGAAAGGAGCCTTCTCCAGGAGGGAGCTGGTAAGTCTGTCTGGATGCAGACTGCCTGCAAAGGTGCCTTTTTTTGCTGTCAGCTCTACAGAGAAGCTGGAGTGATCAGAGTGTAAGGCTGGATGTGTCTGGGCCTTTCTCACCCACCGGTTACTTAGATACCTGCTTTTCTTGGTTGCTGACTAGTTGAGCAGACTCCAGCCTTATGTGGCAGCTCTTGGAGAATTCAGTGACAGCAGGGATAGACTAAAGCAGTGATTTAAAGACCTGTTGGGCCTTACTGTGTGTTAGAGTGCAGTACCCAGCCCTTCTCTATTTTGAATGAGTAGGCCCTGGCTGTACTAGTCTGTATTTGTTGTATTAATGTGATGAATGAAAACAGTCAGGTTTTAAGTTCCTTTACTCAGCTAGAGTAGGTGGGACCTCGCAGGACCTCTCTAGCAGGGTAGCCTGATCCTGGATACCCATGTACTAACGTTGAAGATGTCACTCTAAAATTACCTTGGATGTTTAGGGTGAAGGCTGGTGCAAATTCATTTTGTCAGACTCGCTGCCTTCCATAAAATGCAGTTCCCAACAAATGCTAGCTTTTAATTTGTGCTTTTGTCAAGTATATGCAAACTTGCATTTAATTTAGCTGCTATCCTGCTGCTTGTCGAACTTATGAAGCATTTTATTGTCACTGTTGTCATTCTAAATTGATTGGTAAATCTGTACCAAATACTTCCCAGTGATGGACAAAGAAACATTGAAATGTTAATAACAAAAGATCTGAAAGATCCAGATGTTAGCTGGGGAAAAAATGAAAACCAATCAGTCTTGATTAAACCTTTCAGATAAGAATTTGGGAACATTGTATCAAGATAAATCATGTTTGTTCTAATCACTCCATCATCCAAGATTGACGCTTCTGCCAATAAAAAGCTGTTGGGAACAAATGCATTGAAAAGTTACTGAGATCTGATAAGGGAAATAACTTTGTCTGACTAAAGTGTTACCATCACCTCTATAGCTGAGTGATACACTGAGATTTTCTTGCTTTATACAGGCTTGACAGCCATGTGGTTCACTGTTTAATTTTGTCTTGTTCTGTGGGCAAAGGAAGGGCTTATACATCCAGACTTGTAAAGCCACTATTTTCCATGGAGATTATTTTTACTGTTCTAAAAATACATCGCTGACATGAGTACCAAAGTTTCTATCCAGACCATTCTCTCAAAGCCTTTGGGTCACTTACTCAAGAACTGGCTCACAATAAAAAGATTTTTGACCTTAAAGAAGGTCCAAGAATGGACTGGAATTTAGTTTAACTTGCTCATAGTTTCTGCTTTGCCTTCTTGAATACAACCCATTTTTCTGCTTTTTAGTGAAGTATCACTTCTAGAAAGCTTCCGGCAGAGTGAACTGGATGGGCCTGACCTTACATGAGCAGAAGCTCCTCCTAAACCAGGTGTTTGGGGCTGTTTGCTCGCTCGGCTGGCCTGCTATTCTAGTTTGAGATCCAGGGGATTGCACATGTGCCTCAGTGCATTTCCTGAACTGTCATGGGATGCTCCTTAGTTAACTGTAAGAAGTCAACGTAGAGTGCCAGCTGGCCCAACCTCATTTCTGACGTAAAGCAGGGTTTTAATACACTGAAGGTAAGGTGGTTGAGAGAGAGGTGTGCAGGTCAAAAAATGAGCTAGGGGAGAAGATGGATTTTTTTCATTACTGTACAGATTTTAGAAGAAATGCTTTTCCTCTCTCCCATCTCAAGAAAAGAGAGATCAATTTTTCTACATTCCATAAAACTTGGAACAGAAATTAGATTATTTTTAGCTTATTCCCTGGGTGCTGTGTAGGCTTCAGTCTTTGGAGTCACTTTAGTCCCTGCTCTAGCAGATACAGGATTTATACAAGCTCCAGAGAAAAAAAACAGGAGGAAGAAGAAAAAGAGATTTCAGAACAAGTCTCTCTCCTTTCTTCCCCTCTTTCTTCCCCTTTCTTTCTGCACTTATTGCTGGACTGCTCATGCCTTTTTAAGTTTCCTTCACTTTGGCTCTTCTTCATCATGAATTAATTGCTTGAAATGTTGTGAACAGAAGGAGAGTGGTTAGAGTTAGTTTTAGGATGGGGAAATAAGGCAAAGGGAATAAGATCCTGGGAGAAAAAGCAGCAAAACTGGTCCCTAGATAGCACAAGAGGCCAGACTGTAGCCACAGGGTTAAAATATGGAGACAGACACACAACATTTGTGGGTGAGACATGCGGATGGATAAACTGAAGATTTCTGGCTTTCAGGAGGAAAGCCACAGCTCAGCTGGCAGCTCCAAGTGAAAGTAATGATCTCCAAGGGTGAAGTTTGGGAGTGATTAGAGAGAATAAAAATGCCCGTGAGGAGATGATGGCACTTGTGGCAGCAGACTTCTGACAGTCTCCAAAGACCTTGGGCAGCTGCGCATTGTTGTTATCCAAAATGGAGCTGATTTGATTTGTTGGATGTGGAGCTCCATCCCAAATACTGGCTTGTCTTTTTTTCTTGAAACAGAGTCCCAGGTCTAACAGTTGAAGTCTGGATCCAGTCTGTCTGTATCTGTGGATAGCTTTGCCCCTGAAGCACATGTGTTTCAGATGCAGAGTATCTTCCCTCTCTTTCTGTCTTTCTAGCATTTGTATGGTCAGACTTTAATTCTCAAGACAGAACACAGTGTGATGAGCTTATTTTCCCACCTCTGCAAATGAGTAAGCAGGTTCTTCCTTTCAAACTTGTCCGTAGATGCTGGAAGTGGAATCCGTTATTCTTACGACCTTTGTAAGTTCATATATGTACAGAGTCCAAAACAAAAGGATGGTAATCTCATTGGGTATGTTTGGATTTAAGTTAACTAGTATGGAGCTGTTTCCTTAAGTCAACACGCAGGGATAAAACACTCTGTGTACAGACCTTCAGCAAACGTACCTGGTCTCTGACGTGAGGAAACATGCTGTAGGCATTAATAACGGAGCAGTGTTGACCACAGCCATGGGAATTATAGGCAGTGTGGCATTGATATTCACCCAACAATGTCTCACTTGTGTTTGGTATTTTAATTTGCTCAGGTGGATTTGCAGCTGCAGTCACCACGCCTCTCGATGTAGCAAAGACGAGAATTATGTTGGCAAAGGTAAGAGTAAAGGAGGCCAGCAGACATGCAGGTGAATGGCTTGGGTAGTTCCAGAGTTTCTGTATGGTCATTACAAAATGAAATCCAGCACCTATTAATAATGATTTCAGTTCTTGTCCTCAAAGTCAGGATTAGATGTGAACAGGTACTGTATGCAGAACTAATGAAATTGTTGTGTTCCTTTCCTTGAATTGCTCTTATGGTCCTTTCCCAAAGGAGCTGTCTGAGAAGGCCTTGTGCTTGTGCTAGACCTCCAGCGTCTCATGCCGTGTCTTTAGGAAAAAATCACAGAATTACAGAATGGTTTGGGTTGGAAGGGACCTTAAAGGTCCTCTAGTTCTGCTCCCCTGCCCTGGGCAGGGACACCTTCCACTAGCCCAGGTTGCCCAAAGCCCCGTCCAACCTGGCCTTGAACCCTTCCAGGGAGGGGGCAGCCACAGCTTCTCTGGGCAACCTGTGCCAGGGCCTCAACACCCTCACAGGGAAGAATTTCTTCCTTACATCTAATCTAAATCTGCCCTCTGTCAGTTTAAACCCATTACCCCTCATCCTATCCCTACACCTCTGATGCAGAGGCCCTCCCCCCTTTCCTGTAGCCCCTTTCAGTACTGGGAGGCCGCTCTAAGGTCTCCCCAGAACCTTCTCTTCTCCAGGCTGAACACCCCCAACTCTCTCAGCCTGTCCTCACAGGGGGTGCTCCAGCCCCCTGAGCATCTTTGTGGCCTCCTCTGGACCCACTCGAGCAGGTCTGTGTCCTTCTGATGTTGGTGCCCCCAGAGCTGGACACAGCACTGCAGGGGGGGGTCTCAAGAGAACGGAACAGAGGGAGAGAATCCCCTCCCTGTACCTGCTGCCCACATTTCTCTTGATGCAGCCCAGGACAGAGTCAGTTTTTTGGGCTGTGAGTGCACATTGCTGGCTCATGGTCAGTTTTCCATCCACTGATACCCCCAAGTCCTTCTCCTCAGGGCTGCTCTCAATCCACTCAGATTGAGTGGTCACGGAGTCAGACACCCAAAGTTAAACTTCCTACCAAGGATTTATTCCTCTGTCTTGGTAATTGTTGGCTTGAGTGAGTGTGTGTCTATTCTGAGGAGGGCTTGGCACTAGATTTTCTGTCCTAAAATTTTAAGCCATAGAGATTGTGATGGTTTATATCTGCCAACCAGGGCAGAAGGAAGGTCACTTTTAAGATCAATAAGTTTAGTAAGTAGTTAAATTGCTAGTAAGTCTAGTGTTCCCATCATCATCCCGCTGATCCAGAGCAGAGCTAAGCAGCCACGTAGCTAAAAGCTCTCAGCAGGTGGATATTCCTAAAGCCTTTCCCTGCCCCGAACAGAGCTGTTGTCAGGCCTCCTAGAGTTTCTGTGGATGATTTTTACCCTATTGCTCATGTCCCTCAGTGCGGGGGTGTTTCTTGTTGATGACATGCACCTCCCCGGCCGAGTCACGCACATCTGTGCTCACCATGTTGCTATGTTGTGTATCTCTCGTTGCTGGGTGTTGTACCTGCTGCAGCTTTGAATAGCGAGGATGATAAAAATGTAAGAACGGGGTTTCATTTATGTGTGCTGCTCTCCTGAGCGACCAGGTCAGTGTTGGTGAGGGAATGATGGTGCTTGAGGTGTTCTGAGACCATTCAAACAGCACCTTCATATTAGTCATCTCACACTAGCTAGATCACACATGTAATTTAGTTTTCTGCAGTCCTGCTGTTTGTCCTCTGTTGTGCACTTAAGGCAGTTTTCACATGCAATACACTGCTCATATAGGGGATTTTTTAAGTAATTCTCAAGGCTGCTGTCCTCTTGCAGTGAGCAGCAAAGTTACTTGTTGGTGCTTTGAGAGTGTGTTTTTATTAATGTCTTACTCCAGTGCAGAAGGGGCTGGATACCCAGTTCTGAACTAACCAGCTCTGTGACCTTGGAGTGATTGTTTTGTTCTTCTATGCCTCAGTTTCCTTTTCTGCCTTTTGCCTCATTCCTGGAGACAAGGAGCTTTTGCTGTGCCTGGGGTAGGGAGGTCACTAGGATGTCTATAATTCCTGTAACGTAACGCTAACTAGGGACAGGGAGCTCAGTAAATAACTAAACCTCTCTGCCAGCAGTTTCCAATCTCTCTCTTTCTGTGGTGCAGGCTGGTTCCAGCAACGCTAGCGGGAATGTTCTGGCTGCCCTTGGTGGCATCTGGAGGACACAAGGCCTGTCGGGGTAAGGACATGCTCCATCTCAGGTGCTGTATCGCGGTGTGTGTTGGGGGGCAGGAAAGGGCGGGATGGTCTGCTTATATTTAAATATTGTCATACAGAAAACATTTAATTGCTGTACACGGGACCGAGGAGCAGCTGTCAGGGCTATAAGAACAAGTCCCTCCAGGGAGGCCTAGTGTCCTTGCCTTAGCAAGGCTGTGAGCAGTGCCCAGGGGAGAGCCTGGCAACGGGCCGTTACTGGGAGGGTATCCATGGTGCAATCTCAGTGCATAACTCCAGGCTTCAGAGGCGGTTTGTGTTTAATAACCTGTGATGGACTTTTCTCTGTGAACATGTGCGTTTGTCGTTTATATCTATTTAAACTTCAGGCATGCACGTCTTGTGTTGGCGAGTACCGCAGCTTCATGTTGAGGTGTGTGAATCGCCCCTCCTGAGATGTCAGGGAAGGCCAGCATAGGAGTCATATGCCCCTTATGGAGAATTTTTCTCCTTCTGGCAATTTTCTACTGATTTGAAAACACCAGCAAGGTCTCCTCTTCCTTTCTGTTTGGTGTTTCTACTGTGAAGCATGATGGGAGCAGGCGATGCCAGCGTGGTGCCAGCAGTATGGACAAGCTGAAGCAAAAGGGAGCTGTGTGCTCCCTGAGTTGTCCTCTGAGCTTTCCATCAGGTCTGGTCTTGAGCACACACCCACCTGGATTTCTCTGGTGAGGCAGGCGGAAAAATACAAGTTTAGAAAAATACAAGTTTAGAGACAGGCTTGAGTGCAAAGAGTAAGTGAACAGCCACTGAGCAGCTGCAGAGCTGCTCTCCGGTGGCTTTCCTGCTGTGGCTGGAGCATCGAAATGTTCTGGGCTTTCTTCTGACCAGCTGTGGGAGTCTGGGGTGATGCTGATCCAGTCTCTTAACTGCCTCACTTTGCCCAGTCCTGAGACAGAGAATTGCAATTCTGACCTTGGGGTGGTGTGGCGAACAAAAAGTCTTCTGCTAGCATTTGTAGAACATTTTGAGGTGTCATGAGCTTATACATTACTGATTTTTACAGACACCTGCTTCATTTACTCTACCTTGCCCTCCTTGAGCGATTCATACCAGTTATTGGCCACTTGCAGTGAATATATATGTCTTAAACCACTCCCCCAGCCCGTGAGGTTCAGCCTGTGCTCCCTTTGGTAGGGCTTGTGTCCCACCTGCCCTTGGCCTGGAAAAGAAACGGAGGGTTTTTTGGAAGCTTTACTTGGGGCTTTTCACAGTAATTTCTCATAGGTTCTTAATCCGTTTGATGTGGCCGATGCTTTCAGGGTGCTGTTTTAACATTTGTAAACCGTTGCTCGAAGCAGCGTGCACATCGCAGCTTTGCGGGAGACAGTTTTCTCTTAACATCTGATCTCTGCTCGCCCAACTAATAAAAGTTCAATCCTCTTTCTACACATGTGGGAAATAATTCAAAACAAATTGCAGGAAGTTCCTGAACACCGAGTCCAGGAAGACATCCAGCTGTGCCTCCCAGCAGCGCTCAGAGATGGGTTGTCTCAGGTTTGCTCTTTGAGGTGACGAGGTGATGTGGCAGTGGATGAGTTTTGGGTCCTCGATGGCTTGGTAGGCTCTAGGGCATGTTTTGAAAAGGACTGGGAGAAGTGAGGCGACGTCTGCTGCTGATGGCAGTTGAGCTCTGAAGGGTGTGAAGAAGCATGGATTTGGCTGGGGAAACCTCCCCCTTGCCCCAGCCAACAGCAGAAAATAAAAATGTATGTTTGTGTTCTTTTCAGGGTGTTTCAGCAATGCCTTTTTCTAAACAACCCCAAATTAAACTCTGCCTAAAGATAGTACCCGTGGACTGGGACCAAAGGGAACACAATTCAATTGAAATCAAAACAATAAGCGATCTGGAGAAAAAGTAACATGTAAAGGAGGCCAAGCTGTGTCAGCTGCAAGGAAAAGGAAGAAAGTCTTGGGAAAAATAAACGCAGAGGCTGCCATGCCTGCTGCCAATTATAAATCTATTAATCAAAAACAATAAAAATGTCGGGCTTTTTTGGCCAGTTGCAACATGAAATGATTTATGGCTCCTCTAATAAATCTTGTACTTGAAGAGGAGGAATTCTGAGGGCAGAAAGACGCATTGCTTATTGCCACCTTATTAAAACCAGAGCGCAGGGCTCAACTTCCTGGTCTGCACCTAGTAAATCCCTCTGCTTCACGCCAAGAAATTTCACATCCCTTTCTGTCCGGGGAGAGCCAGGCATGCGGCGAGAGGTAGGATAGGGATGGGGTGAGTGGATCCAAGTGCTTCCGCTCTTGCCAGCAGGGTAGATGAGCCATTCGTGTGAAAGCAGGTTTAGGTCTTGTCTGACAGCTGTTCACACAAGGAGGTGGTGGTGTTTGAAAGCCACGGATGAAGCTCCACAACTCATTGGTGAGAAAGACGAGGGTTATTTGATCAGTCTGGTGAGATGGCTTGTCGCAGCTTGTGTACCTGGGGACAGAGCTGGCGGTTTTCCCCAGGTGTCCCGTTCCTCGGATCAGCTTCCTGGTCAGGTGGACGTGGCACGGCAGGGACCAATGTGAGTGGTGGATGCAGCCCCCGTGCCCAGGGCTTGCTGCTTTGCAAAACACAAGCTGCTTGCAGGAGTAAGCTCGGTGCAAAGGTGTAATCAGGTAGAAGTGATGGTTTTTTTCTTGGCATGGCCCCCTCTTTGGTCCAGAGTATAACACAGGTTTTGTGGCCTTTTTCAGCATTGGCCCCTCTATGCTGTGTTCAGGCCCTGCAGTGCCTTTTCCAAAGAGTAACTTCAGGGGTCCCAGTTACAGAATCACAGAATCATCAAGGTTGGAAAAGACCTTGAAGATCATCTAGTGCAACCATTAACCTCACACTGACCATTCCCAACTACACCAGATCCCTCAGCACTATGTCAATGTGACTCTTAAACCCCTCCAGGGATGGGCACTCCACCACCTCCCTGGGCAGCTCATTCCAACGCCCAACAACGCCTTCTGGAAAGAAATGCTTCCTAATATCCAGTCTAAACATTCCCTGGTGCAATTTGAGGCCATTCCCTCTTGTCCTTTCTCTTGTTACTTGGTTAAAGAGGCTCATCCCCAGCTCTCTGCACCCTCCTGTCAGGTAGCTGTGGAGGGCGATGAGGTCTCCCCTCAGCCTCCTCTTCTCCAGACTAAACCACCCCAGTTTCATTTCTGTCTCTACTGAGAAAGAATTTGCTTTGGGTTGCTGAGTTATTGCCCAAAAAGTCACCTTGGCTGCTGAGACCGTGGGACTAGGTGTATTGCTGGGCTGGGAACCCTGAAACGAAGAGCTGCACCCTGGAGGGCCTGCACACAGCTGGGGAGGGGACATGGTGCAGGTTTAACACCTGCAGCCAGGCCTGGCCCTGAGGTTTAAATGCGATTCCTGGGTTTGTGACTCCTGCCCAGCCCTTCCTCACACAGCTCGGAGAGCACTATGTGTCTGTGCTGGAAAGCCTGTGTCTGGTCTTTGCCAGTCACCGACATGCTGTGCAGGTATTGCAGCTGTGGGTGAAGGGGGTGATGGCAGGGGTGAAGCCTGTGGTGCTGGATCCAACCAGTAACTGAGAATGTTGCTTAAGCAAAAGGGAAAATCCAGACAGAGAGAGAGGAGTGTCAGGATTCCAGGTGAAATCTGTGCAAGAAGATAGCAAATACAAACAGACTGCAGCCCTGTGCCCACCAGAGTGGTTTCTGATGGGGCCAGCAGGAAAAAAAAAAATAAAAAAATCAATCTCATCTGCTGATGGGGGCAGGTGTGGCCCAGTGGGGACCAGTTTGGATCAGGCCTGCAGCAGAGCTGAGCTCTCCTGATCTGGGACAGCCCCAGAGCCTTTCAGCTCTGCCCTCCTGCAGAAGGGAGCCCACAGGGGAGGTGTGGATTGGGCTGGGCACGGCTGGCAGGTGGGAAGGGGAAACTGGGGGGGAGCAGGGCCGGCATTCTTGGAAGTGATGGTTAGTAACAGAGGTTGCCAGGGATGCAGGTTCTGGGTAACTGAGTTATCTGCCCCTGTTTGTGTAATAGCTGTGTCTTGAGTGGGCTGTTCTGTAAATGAACGTCTGCTGCTGTAATGAGGCTGCCGAGTTCGGCAGGAGAGGGATGGTGCGTGTTCCGAGAGCGATGCTGCACCACAGGATTTACCCTATCAGCGCTCTGTCCATACATGCCTTGTACAAATTACTCTGTTTTAAAGCTGTCATTATGGTAATAGACCCAATTGCTGTCTAGTAAAGCCATAAAATGTTTCCATCTGCCTGTGTGCTCCGGGCTCCTTAGCAAAGCTCATTACAACAAAAACCAGAGTTATTGCAGCCAGAGGTTTCCCCAGCGCAGCGCGAGTAGCCGGGCGCAGGCAGGGAGCAGAGAGCTCCTGAGAGCCCCGGGGTGCCTGTGTGTGTCTCCTGCGCAGCCAGCGCTCACCAGGAGTCACACCTCGTCCCACTGCGGACATGCCCCTCGCGGGGACCGTGCAACGCTCCGAAAAAGCCGAGGACAGGATTCCCGCGGAGCTCAGGCAGAGTGTGCTGCGAAGGGCTCCCGCCGTGCAGGCGATAGATCAGCGGGGGGATGCCAGACAGATTCGAGCCTAATGTTTAATCCTTGCTTGCAGCAAAGGAAGCCTCTAATCCTCTGGGAGGATACACTGGCCTATCCTGAAGTTGTTAAACCAACTTTGAGCTTAGATGTGTCGAGCAATTGGCTTTGTACAAGTTTCCTGTTAACTTCCAAGAACTATTAGGATCAGGCACCTAAAAATCGTGGCGGCTGAACGCAAGCCATCCCTGCTCCCGCCCCGCTGCCCCTGGGAGTGGTACTGGGAAGGAGCCGTCGCGGTGAGCGGGGCTGTCTCTGCCGTGGGGGAGCTCCTGGTGGAGAAGGGGGGATCCCTCTGCTGGGGCTGGGTGGGGGTGGCAGAGGATGGGACGCTCCCCATCTCTCTGCAGCCCTTCGTGGAGATGTGTCTGAGCTCCTCTTTCCACAGCGTGGCCCATCACCTCCTGCAGCTCTGCTTCTGCACCTGAGGCGTGGGGAGAGGGGCTAAAAGTCACGAGGCTTGGGAGTGCTCTGTTAGGGAAGTCCAGACAGGTTCCTTCAGTGAGCAGTGGGCTGGGATTTAAGGAAACAGCAAGAGAGACTTTGTCTTGGCTTTGATTCCCCAAGCCCCTGCAGCCAGCCGTGCAGCATCCGCTCAGCCCCAAACCGCCTTCCCTTCGCCTTCAGCTTGTTCGCAGGTGTCGTCCCACGGATGGCGGCCATCAGCCTGGGAGGCTTCATCTTCCTGGGGACATACGAGAAGACTCGCCAGCTGCTGCTCTGACCCAGCCCGGCCGGTGCTGCCGGTGGCCACCAAAGAGCTGGAGAAGCCGCCGAGTTGGAGGAGGAGTCCGCCCGCCTTCCTCCTGCCGCCCCGCGCCTGCCGCAGCAGCTGTTCAGCAGGCTGAGCGCCGCTTTCACTCTTAAAAGAGAAGTAAATCCCCCAATAATCCAATTTCCCAAACATGAAATTTTCCTGCATGGAAAGTGAGTGAGGTCATTGCGAGAGTTGTGCCAAAAAAGTAATGTTTGGGGGGTAAACAGCTAATTACAGTGGCTGAGAAAGGCGCTATTAGAACTCCTGCAGGGGAAATGTTTTGCAAACCTCCAGCTCGTGGACTGGGCGGGGAGGCTGAAATAAAGCGAGTTTTCATAATTCAGTGGCACCTGCCTCATAACGTGGGGAGGGTTTTACTGGTCGGGGAAGGGGCCGATAGAGTTACAGCCTGCTGCCCTCCAACAGCACCGAGCGTATTCCAGGCTGGGAGACTTCTTTGTAAAAGACAATAATCCATTTGTTCCTGATTTGAGCTGTGTTTGTGGAAGTTTATATTCCTGTTTATACCTACAGGTGCTCAGCAAGCATTCCTGTGTGGTAGCCAGTGCAGCTTTATTAATTAGACTCACATTTCTCCAGTTAAAAAAAAATAAAAGCACAAGCTTGTATTATTTTACAGCTGTGCTTGGGCAAAGACATGCAGCTCTGCCTTCTTTTGGTCTTCCTCCCTCAGCAGCTGAAGGAGCAGGAGGTTGGAAACGCTGGAGCCCAGGAGGGAGGCCAGGGCAGGGAGAAGGTGCGAGTCCTCCTGCCGCTGTATGGATGGATCCCGAGGGCTCACAGGGGGCTGCCGGCAGGCAGAGCAAACCTCTGTGAGGAAACGGCAGCTGTAGCGGCCAAAATGGTGCCGGGACGAGCTGGGTGCAAAGGCCTTATGGAACTTAAACTTCTCAACGGGGTCTGGGGTGGGGGGGCTCAGAGTTTACAACAGCAACTTGGCTGAGCAGCGCTTGAAAAGGTTGAGTGGGGCAGGCAGAGCCAAGCTGCTGCCTTTGGTGCGCCCCAGCAAGTCCCTCCTTGGGCTGCATCAGCATGGGGGGCTGAGGGGCCGGGGCAGGCACTGGCCACAGGTCACACGTGTGCCCTGGGCTCAGCCATGGTGCTGGGGGGGGCTGAAGGGCCCCGTGGGGGGTGGGAGAACCCGGCTTGGGTGGCTGTGGCGGCACCGAGCCATCCGCCTCAACCTGGTGGCCCTGGCTCCTTCCAGGGCATGATGGCGCTCCCGAGTTAATGAACTGGTTGTGGGGTGATGATGTGCTCCCCGGGGGAGCTGTACTTTGAGCTTTGGGGTTGTTCTCCTCATTAGGAAGATGTACCTGTGTGGGGAGTCTGGGGCCACAAATGCTGAACTGAACCAGGTTAGCGTGAAGCCTGAGGCGGCTGCTCAGGCGCTAACATGGGCCAGGCTTACTAAGGCTGGATGGTTTATTACACTGTCATCCCATGACATAGTAATAAGATTTCTTTGAGGCCAAAACTTAGAAAATAATTGGCAAACAAGTAAAACTACAGAACAAAGGACATCATCATTCTTAAAAATAATCTCCAATTAAAATGGGGAATTTCAGCCAAGCCCTGTATTGGCTGGTTAATTCTGCCCGTTCCCATGGCAGGGTGTAGCAGTGCTTCCTGCCACTTGTCAGGTTGTCTCTTTTATGATGTTTGTATATAACAGAACCAAATTTAGGGGCATTTGGGGTGGAGAGGGGAGATTTATAACTGTGTCTTAAAAGCAAACTTACTTATATTTTCTATTAAAGCTCTTTAAACATGATGAGCAGCTTAGCACTGCAGTTGGTGCCTTTAATTACTCGAGCTGAAAATAACCAGACCTCCTCGTCTTTGGGTCCAAATGCTGGATTTTTGTTGGTTTTACTTAATATTTGTCTAATCAGGTTTTGTCATCACCGTTTCTTGTTTAGAAAACCAAAAACCCAAACAAGTAGCAGAAGTGCTTTAGCCAACCTGCTGCTGGGGGACGGGAGGGCTGAGAGGGCTGTGGGGTGAGAGCAAGGGGATGGGCAGGGCTGTTCTGCACACACTGCCTCCTCTCAGCCTCCTGGACACCACAGTGTTAGTTTTGGGACTAGGAGGAGGAAAAGACGTAAAAATGTGTTTGTTTTCCCCCTAGTGCCCACTTGCCTTGAATTTTAGCAATGTTTTATTTCAAGTTTACCACAACTTGAAAAATTAATTTTAACCTATTACTGGGATAACATGGAATAACAATGCTTGAATCTCAGACCAGGCACCAGCCTCTTAAACGCTGTTTCTTTTCCATTTTAAAACATTTTCAGTCCCTTAACACATATAGGAGTTATGAGTAGTCTCAGAAAACCTGCTTTATATGCAAAGTTATAATTTGGAAGAGGAAATACTTTTAAAAATTTTTGTAAAGATACAGAAGCTGAATTGAAATTTTTTAAAGTTAAAAGCAAGAATTCTTGCTTTATCTCCAAAGCTGCCTCTGGAATTTCCATAGAGGGTGGGGTTGGAGTTTGGGAAAGCCGGAGGTGTTCACAACTGCAGCTGAGCCTGGCGCTGTGCTGGTCCCATTTTTCTTACATACTTACACACACATGTGCACACACCCCATCTGTTCTGCTTTCAGTGCCAAGATAAGGGTATTTGCCAGGTACTTCAGCAAGCTGATATATCAGAAGTGTATTTCTTACAAGTTCTTTATTGTATCTTTCAATCAGCCCCCACATTCCACCCCATCCGCAGTCTCATGCTGATCTGATGGGTCTAATTTCACAAGTGGGTATTTTGGCAGTCTGTGTTTTCGTCAAGAGAAAGACAGAAAAAAAAAAAAAGTATAGGAATGGATTAGAATTTTATTTAATTTTCAACTGAAACTCCCAAAAGCTCACTCTCAACAAAACAGCTGTAATATTATAAATGAACCTTTATTAAAGACACTTCAATGCCATTTGTTAGACACTTCAATATCTTACATGTTTTTCAATGTACAACATTGTACCAAATTTTCTAATAAATAAATAACTTTGTACACAAAAGTAATACTTCCTCTTTCACATTGCCTCTTAGAAGCAGCAAATTCACATATTTAGTGGAAGTCATAACGTTAGGCAGTTAACTTTATTCAGAAACATTATTTTCAAATGTTAATGTGGCAAATATGCTTTGTATCTGCAGTGGTGATGACGTTTCTGCCAAAGTGAGTCAATTAAATCATTCCCATCTTCCCCGTGTCCCCAGTTCCACTGTTCTCACCTTGTGAGTCGGTTCTGAAGCGTAATTTCCCCTGCAGTAAAGGGAAAACTACGCTCGGTTTATAATTTTCTAACATCCATTTCCTTTGCTTTGAATAAACTTGGCACTCACCATAATTAGCCACCTGTCTCAAAGTGCAAAAATGTCAAAGTCAGGAGCTGATACAGACAGGGACCAGCCTGAATGCTGCCTTGCTTCACCAAGGTCAGGCTCAGCGGCCAGGCTGCAGGGAAACTCAGCTCCTCAAGGTACAGCTGGGCAGGACCAGCCTGTAACAAAACCAGCACTGTCCATCCTGGTGCAGGGCAGCACAGAACAGCTCCGTGAAACCCCCGCAGAGCCCCAGGGGATGGATCTGAACAGAAAATTAAAACGTTTCTGCCCTTATCTCTGCTGCTTGTTTTGAGGCACAGTACTAGCAAAGGTGGATTTCCACCAGACTCGGCTTCAGTGGAACTGGCATTTGAGGTGCTCCTAAGGAAAAAAGTAACAAAACCCCCTAATAAACCTTCCCCAAAGTAGTCATCACCAGAGTTAGCAACCTTATGTTAGCAGAACTCAAATTACAAGTAACTGGAAGGGAGTCCTCCATCCACAGGTACCAACACCAACAGAAAGCAGCCTTTCTATAAATAAAAAGCATCATAGTGAAGTTAGAAGTGACAAAGATCTGTTTGACCAATGTGGGTATTTCTTTTTCCCCCCATTCATGGATGAACTTAAAAGACCACGTATTTAAAAATACTTGGGACATTTCCACTTAAGAGAGTACTTTCAACCATAAATACAGAGTTTCCCTTCTAAATGAGTGTATTTCTGCAGAGCTACACAAGGCAGCATAATTCACTTGAGGCAGATATTTTCAGTCTGCAGACGGGGGTAATGGTGTTCAACAAGAAAGCACAATATTGTGTTGCAGGAATAAAAGAAGTACCAGACGAATTAACAGTACAGCTGTCAGCTTAGGAGTGTGATTTTAGTTTTGTTGTCAAAACAAACAGCTCTATGGTTTCAAACCCCCCTCCAGCACAGACGTGGGGTTTTTTGGGGGTGTGAAAATGCATTACAGTGGCAGGGGTTATTCCTTCGAAAGGGGGCCGGGCTGCGTATGCTCACATGCACCTCACACACAGGGAAAGCTGCATCCGGGGGAGAGGGGAAGCTTCTGCAGGTGATCAGTGCTGGAACAGCCTCTGTGGGCAGGTAACACCTTCTGCTGGGACCGGAGTGAACCATCCCAGCATTTACTGCACCAGATTTTGGTAACGACTGCTCAGGAATCGCCACGGCCTTGCTGTCTGGATGTTCTGGGGCTCTGCACCGTTGCTGAATTATTCAGTGCCTCTTGTGTGGTCCACTAACAGTTCAAATACTAATTTTTATGCAGTTTTGAAAAGCAATGGAATTTAAGTTCTTCCACTAACAGGAAAAAAAAAAAATCAGGTTGCTATGTAATTTCCTACTGCGTGTTTTATTTTTGTCCTATAACTTCATCTGAAACAGTTGAAGATCTCTCTTTAAACGTGTTAAGTGCAATAAGTTTCAAAGGGAAAGGAAATTTGTGCTAAGTAACCCAATTGATACTTGATTTAAAGGAACTTCCACTGAAAAGAGGACAATCCCTTTGGAACAGTCTGGCTTTTTAAAGTTCTGCTTATGCATTTAAGGCACCAGAATTATTTCTCTCACAAAGTTTTAACAGCAACCTGATACTGAAAACAATATTGCCAAAATTGTAAAATTTCACTCAGTTTTCCATGCACTAAAGATTAAAATAGCCTCTGTAAAAGATATATATATTTTTTATATATATATATTTATATATGAAAACTCTTATGTACAGTTGTATCAAATACTTTTCTCTTTACACAATAATCCCTTGCATTTATGTGCTTCATATGCAAGTCAACTTTTGAACGCTTCATACTTCTCAGGGAAGTTTTAAACTATGTACAAACAGATGACGCTCGAACAGGAGTTTGTTCCCCATACAAGCTTGTTTCTCATACCTCAGTTGTTTGCCTTTGACAGGTCATCAGTTTGAGATTTGAGGTAGAAGTAAGTAGCCTATATACTCTG